TGCAGCGCGGACGCGGGCGGGAGCTGCTGGCTCTGCCTTCCGCGGCGTGGAGCCGCGCTGGTCTCGGGGAGGTGGCGTTTGACGCGCGGTAATCGTGGGGGTCTCTGGCAGATTTGCGTTTTAAACACTTCGTGGGCCTCCCTGGTGGCGCAAGGGGTTCAGACGCAACCAATGAAGCAATGTGGAGCCTCTGAAGCAGGAGTTCGATCCCCCAGCCGGCCAGGGAGCTACCCACACGGCGCAGCAGACCTCTCCTGACTCGCCTGCCCCTCCCCTCAGCAGTGTATTTCGTCAGTCTGCCTGTTCTGTTCCCCACTCTGTCTCTGGTGAATCCTCTTCCCCACCCCCACCTCTGGCCTGTACCCCAGCTCCTGTATGCATAAATAAATAAATCTTAAAAAAAAAAAAAAAAAAACCAACACTCCGTGCTTGTGAAATCTGCTCTTCACCTCTCAAATCCGCAGTTGGTTCCTCTGTGCTTTGAGGATAACTGGGTCTCGGGCACAGGTTCTATGAACCTTAAATGGCATTTTGAATACACAGAGCCAGATTCACAAAAAAAAAAAAAATCTGTAAGCATAATAGCTTTTATAATGATGATCTTTATTGTTCACCCCTTTCGCCCATCCTCTCATGCAGCAAACCTACACGGAGGACGCTTTTCAAACCACAAAGCTAACTGCTCTTGGCTGCAAATGTAAAGATGATTAAGTTCCCAGCTCTGTCCTTGGGAAGTTCACACTTCCTTGAGGGGACAAGGACAATAAAGGAGTGCTTATTAGACTATGTGATCCTCCTTGAAAGAGAGAATTGAGGGTGCAGAGAGGTGCAGAGAGGAACCCCACCCACACCCCCTCTCCAGAAATGGTTCATATGGTGTAGGCAAGGAAAAATGTAGATTTAAGTAGAAATAACTGAAGGTGTCATCTCTGGAAGGCAGAGAAGGCAGGGCAGACTGGAGACATTTAACATAAGCTTGGTGTGCTGGGGAGTTAAGGAATGCTAAGGAGTACTCAGGGGAGATTTAAGGGACTGCCGGTTGGCAGGACTTTGAACACAAAGCAAGGAGGCATTTAAAGCTATCTGCCTTCCGAAAAGAGCCACTTTCAAGAATAAAATGACTGTTCTGTGGAGCAGGGTGGCAAGGAATGGGGGTTCACCCGTGTGGAAGGGAGGGGGCAGAGAAAAGACTGTAGACCAGGAACCCAGTGGGGGGGGGGGAGATAAGGATTCCCTTCTAACTCCCAGACCCTACAGGCACCTTCAGGTTAATAATTGTCTGAAATAAGGTGAAAATGAGCATACCAACATGTGTCCCCACCCTGGGATCAGGACAGGGGAGGGGGCACAATTTGAGTTATGATACAATGATGATGGATGCAATTTTCCCTGGGTGCTGTCTCCAGGGTCAGAGTGGGGGCACACCCTCTGATGACTTCCTTGGCCACTACCCAGCACCAGTGGAACACATCTAATGGGAAACAGAGGCCTGAGGCTCTCCCAGCTCATCTTGTGCTTATGCTGTCATATTTCCTTCTCCAATTGGACAGGTGAAATATAAGGGATAATAAAATACACCCAGGGAATGTGGGAAGGTAAAAAGGTGACAGGTGAGAGTTCACTGGCTTCTCATGCTCAGTGCCACTGCTGATTACATGAAAGGAAACATCCCTGAATTTGCTGGGGGTGGGGGGTGGATGGAGACTACATACAGCCTATAAAGAAATGCATGATTTTGAAAAAGGTTTGCACTGGGGGGCATCTGTAAGAAGATACTTGAGTGTATTCATTTTCTAGGACTGCTGTAATAAAGTACCATTAACTGGATGGCTTAAAACTACAGAAATGTATTGTCTCAAAGTTCTGAAAGCTAAGTCTGAAGTCAAGGTGTGGAGAATATGCTTCTTTGAAGCCTGTGGGGAAGAATCCTTCCTTTCCTCCCAAGCTTCTGGTGATTTGTTGGCAATGCGATCTCTGACTCGGCCCAGCACTGTCCCCTTGTGTTTCTGTGTCTCTCCTTAAAACAACCCCAGTCATACTGGATCAGGGCTAATGATCTCACCTTAACTTGGCTACATCTGCAAAAACTCAATTTTTACATAAGGTCACATTCATGATGCTGGGGTTAGGATTTCAGTTGCTTTTGGGGGAATGCAATTCAACCCATAATAGCATGTAAAGGTGCCTGAGCTGGGGCCATGGGGGTTGATGAGATGCTAACCCTGCCAGCTGGGAAGTCAGGCTTCACTGAAGAGTTCTTCCTATGGTAGAAGTCAGAGAATCAGAGCTCAGATCAGGAAACCATGGGCTAATAATTTTCTTTTGTTTTGTTTCAAAGCAAGCTCTGGGCAGTTTGACTAAAGAAAAATTCTGCATGATGTTCACCAGTTTGTTCTGGCATGCTTCTAAATGGTATCAGAATCAGCTGGATCGATAATAGCCAGCATGCCTGCTCTACAGTATTTTCCACACACTGTGCCCAATTCAATAGCATTGCCTCTATGATGATGGCCACCAGTTTGGGCCAACTTGGCATAATACTATAGTTCAGATTTCCTCAAAGCTGGGCAGTTGTTGGCGAGGATGATCAGTTTCACTTTGCTTCATTTGATCGATTCCAGATCCTACTTGTACCCCAACATATATTTCTCACATTTCCTAATGAGTTGTAGCCTACAGTTGATTGACAGTAGTGACTTTTTTGGGTCCTCTCTGTACCCACCATCTTCCTGCCTTAGGTGTGGAATGGCCCCTAACCAGAAGCAGCCACCAAGATGGCCTGGGAGAGAGAATGTCTAATTCATTTTCACAGAGTGGACCTGGCCTGGCAGCATCAACATCACCTGGGAACATGTTAGAAATGCCCCATCCCAGATTGTTGTATCAGAAACTCTGGGGGGAGATCCAGGAAGTTGTTTTAACATGTTCCAGGTCACAGAGCCAGAGATGCTAAGAGTCCAGCCCAGGTTTGGGTCCACAACCTAGATGCATTCTATCCCTGCAGGAACACATACACAGCATACTTGGAGTAGAAATTTATTGTTGTTAAAGATTTTTTAATTTATTTTTGCGTAGAAGAACTGGGCCAGAGGTGCAGGAATGAAAGGATTCACCAAAGACAGAGTGGGAAGCAGAGGAGGTAGATTGACTGAAATACACTGCTAAGGGGAGCAGCAGGCAAGACAGGAGAGATCTGCTGCTCCATATGTGGATTAGCTCCCTGGCTGGGGATCGAACCCAGGTCTTATTGGTGACAGCATCTAGACTTAACCCCTAGGCCACTAGGGAGGCCCATGCATGGAAATGTTTTTTAAAAATACATGGAACTGTAATTTTGACCTTAGCGTCTCCAGGCTACAGGGTTCCTGGCCTATCCCGTTGGCCCTGTGGATTCCATGCAGTGAAGGGCAGGCATGATTCTGCCTGTTGGTGCAGCATTGGACATCTGCTGCCTCAACTGATGCTCACAGGGATCCTCATGAGGAAAGCAAGGCTGTGACAAACCCCTCATCACATGGGTCAGTCATAGCGCAAGGAACTGTACCTTAGAAAAGGGAAATGCGATCTGGCCAAGGTCGCTTGATGAGTGAGGTGTGGCTGTGCGAGCTGCTGCTGCCCTCCCCCACCCCACCAACCCTTCATCATCGCTTACATGTGCCAGTGCTCCCCCCTCCTCCATAAACAGTGAAATCCAGGAACCACTGACGCCAGGGAGACCAAAGAGTAAATTCCTGAGCAGGAAATCAATTCCTCTTCCAAGACAGCCTGTAATTGAGACAGGAGGCGCCTGAATCGGGGCCCTGGCTTTCCCAGGTTGACCTGAGTGGGCTGCTGGGGCTCAAGGGCTTCACCTGAGTCAGGCAGACTCCAAGAGCTCCTCGCACCTGTCTGAGTTCCCAGCACTCTGGCTCTCTCAGAAAATAGCTGAAAAGAGGCTGCGGGAAGGGAAGAATTAGATCAACTTTTATTTGATTGTTAAAGAGGCAATACTCACTTGAATTCTTTGCAAAGGTACAAGGAGTAGGCAGTAAAGAGAGTCCCTCCCAACCCATTCAGCACCCTCCCCCACCCTTCTGGTTTCCCAGTCTCCTCCCAGGAGGCAAACACTCTCCCTAGCTTCTCTTCAGTCCGACCAGAGGAAGTGGCACATATACACGCAAATGACAATCAAATTTAAAATTTACTTCCTCCATAGCCCAGGGATGTGTTGAATAAGGGACTCAGAACCCCTGGATTTTCATTCTTGCCCTGTCATTTTCTGTGTACCCTAACTCAACTCTGCTGAGTCTTGCCTTCCTTGTCTACAAAACGGGGTAACCCCCCACCCCAGGTTGCTGTGCAGACGAAACTAGATGCAAAACTATGTGAATGATTCCAATTTTTATTTTACTTGATGTGATTTAATTCCTCTGCCCTGCCTAGAGTCAGATTTATCTATGAGCCCCTTCCAACTCCTGAGTCAAAGAGGGATATCTAGATGGGGCTGGGAAGTCATTGACTGACCTTGGCCCAGCCAACTTGGTTCTAGCAGGAATCCGACATGCGTCCGTGGGTCTGCGCATCCTCATCGCCGCTACTTGATCCTGCAACTCTACCTGGAGAGCCGAGGTTAAGTGCTTGAGAGAGAGAGAAACCGAGGCAGGCACCGAGAGAAAGAAGCGCCAGGAAGAGAGCAGAGCAGATTTCTTCACAAGGCCAACCAAAAGCCGGGCCTGAAACAGCCTCCTCTGGTCAAGGTCATACCAGCAAACATTCAACTTCTGTGGGGTGCAGGCCCCTGGGTGGGATCACTTGTCTGTCCTTTCATCCATACATCTCTTGTCATCCCCAAACTGCTGAAGCCTAGCCAGAGACCAGCCCTGGCACTGGCACACGGCCATGTGCTGGGGTGAATCAGAATGGGCCGGCTGGAGCCAGTGGGTGGAAGACAGGGGCGCACCAGCTGGAGGGCACGGCAAGGACCAGGACTTGCCGCGCTGGGCACTGAGGTTGAGTGAAGGATGGCCGGCCGGAGCTGCCAGCAGGTATGCCGGAAGTCAGGGGAAGCAAGGAGAGGAAGATAAAATAGGCTGCAGAGGGTCCGGCCGAGCCCCAAATGGGAGAGCGAGCGAGTGGGAGCCTGCGCGCAACCTTGATTCCACGCGGAAGCCAGCTTGTGGCCGTGGGCCTGCGCCGCCGCGTTACCACTGCTGATGCTGCGTCTCCTCACTCCCGCTTTGAGGAGCTTCTCGGTTTCTGCCTGGGCAGGAAGGAGCTGGGCTTGCCTGTCTAGCCACCACCCCAGGGCGCCTGGATCCCACAGCCAGAGAGCGCCTAGCCCCCAGCCCCCAGCACCAAGGGGCAGCGGTGGGGAGCTGCGTCTGGAGGGAGACACGGAGCGAATCCTCACTCGCCGAGGGTAAGGCACTGCCCCTCTGCCTGTGAAGTGGGGCTGTAATAGGAGTGCCCCCCAATTTGGCAGGGAAGCTTAGATGACCAAAGGACACAAAGCTTGGCCCAGCGCCAGCCACACTCTGGCAAACGGCAGAAGCTCCATGTCTGGAACTTGATGGTCAGAGCGATCTGCAGCTTCAGGGGGACTCTCCAATCCCAAAGGACTCGGAACCCAGAGACCTGCCCCCCCCCCCCGTGAGATTTATAACTCCGGGGAGAGCCTGAGGAGGGGGGACCTGTTGGAAACGGGGGCAGCCCGCAGCGGGGGTGGCGTCTCCAGCCCAGGAGCCTGGACACGTGCAGGACAAGAAGACGAGGGCGGGGGTGGGGTGCGGGCCGAGCTTTCCGCCCGCCCCCCGGACCCCTCGCTGGAGGGTCGGCCCCGCGGGCCGGCAGGCCGGCAGGGGGTGGGGCAGGGCTGGCCTCAGGTCCTGCCGGGGGCTGGGGGGGCGGGTCCCCGGGGACTGCTCCTCCCGCCCGCCGCCGCTTTAAGAGGCTCCTCCGCTGCAACGAGCGGGCCGGAGCCGCAGCCCGAGCGAGCCTTGCAGAACCCAGCGGGCAGGTGCGCCGCGGCGGGGACGGCAGCGGCATGACCGGCCACCACGGCTGGGGCTATGGCCAGGACGACGGTAGGCACGGACCCCGCCGGCCCCCTTGGCTCCGACTCCCCCCTCCCGACCCTCCCGCACCCCCAGTTTCCCAGACCCGGGAGCCCCTACCCTCCAGGCCCAACTGGGACCCCACTCCCGTCCAGTCCCCCAAACCCGACTCACCTGCGGGCGAGGTCCCCGGCGCCCCCACGCCCCGCGCAAAGTCCGTGCTGCGCCCCGGCCGCCCCGCCGCCCGCAGGAGCCCGGCCGAGCGCGTCCCGCCGCCTCCGCGAAGCCCGGGGTTCGCTCTGCCCGGGTCTGGAGCACGCGGACTGGGGGGGCCCGGGGCGGCCGGGGGCGGGGGCGGGCGCGGTGGAGCGCCGCGCGGGGGCGTGTGTGCGGGGAGCGCGCGCCGTGTGCGCCGGGAGGTCCCCAGAGCCGGGCTCCGCGCGCGCAAGGGCGCAGTGTCTCTGGGGGCGCTTCCCCGCACAAGTGTCCAGTTGTCGTATTGGCAGGTATGTGAGAGCAGCGAGTATTTGGGGGCGCGCTCCTGTGGCTGGATGTCTGCCCAGAGCAGGTGTCTGAGCAGGTCACGATGCAGTGTGGGAGCTAGTGGCCCGCTCCAGCCTCCTGATCGGAATCAGAAAATAGCTCCTTGATCTTCCTCAGTCTCTTTAGGATGCCCAGGAATGGAGCAAAAAGAGAGCCAGAAGGCTTGAGTGTGGGTCTTAGGCTGGTCAGTTCCCTTGGGGGAGAAAGGGACATGCTGGTGGTAGGAACACACCCCTTCGCCACTTTTCCGGCAGAGGTGGTCGTGCTGAAGGTGAGTGGCGAGTGGGGGTCTGGGGGCCAGGAGGTTGCAGTGGGCCAGAGGGAATTAAGGAGGTGCTGTGGTGTCTCTGGCCCCCTGTGAGACCCCAAGGACACCACAGCATAGTTTGAAGGTGGAGAACCCCAGATCTGGGCATGCAAAAGCCAGAGACAGTCAGAAACAGGCAACAGAGACCAGCAGAAGGTAGAGGGGCAGATTGACAAAACCCATAGAAAATCATCTCCCCCAGCACCTGCTCTGAGCCAGCTTCTCGGTGCTTCCCCCAGAGTCAGAGTTCCCTACACCAGCCTTCTTGCTGGTCCTGCCCACCATCTCCGAGCATCCACTATCCTCAGGCTGCCACCTTAGATCGCTGCCCCTCACCCAGCCAGTCCAGGGGTAAGGAGGGAAAGACAGAGGCAAGAGGTGCCGGCATGCCGCATGCTCACAGGACTTCAAAAATAACCCAGTGGGTCTGGGCCACGATTCTGAGTCATCCATTGGGGACACAGCTCTGTCGGCACCTGCTGCTGTTTTCTCGGGAAAACTTAAGAAGCCAAAAACGGGGAGAAGCACCAGCCGGCAATAGCACTAAAAATAGGCCGCATCTCAGGATGTTCCCTAGGGAGATGCCGAGCCTCCCGGCTGCAGATGGAGTCTCTGGGAGGCAGGTGGTGGGCGCCCGTGGGTGTGCACACAGGTGTGTGTGTGTATGTGTGTGCACGAGCGTGTTTGCCGGAGCCCCTTAGTGCAGACCGGGGCTTGCAATGGGGCATCTGCGTGTGAGGGTACATATGCAAGTCTCAGATGTGGGCAGGGCTGTCTGCAAACAGTCGTGTTGCCGAGTCTGGCCGCTGTGGGCCTGGTGAACCCAGATCACTGTGGACGTGTGTGTACACCTAGGAAACTGTGGCTCTGTAGGCACATGCCTGGGCAGGGTAGGTGGGGGCAGTGCCTGCACATCCTGTGCATTTCGGTGCCCAAGATGTGTGTCTGCAGGCATGAGCAAGCATCAGTTCTCTCATCTGTGAGGTGGGGATCCTGCTGGTTTCTCCTCCACAAGGTGGTTTGAAGAGCGATGCATGTCACGTAGCCAACTAGGTTGCTGTGAGGTTTTGCTGTTGTTAGGACCAACAGGAACATGCCCAAGGAGCAGGAGGAGGCCAGATGCCTAGAGGTCAGTCAGAGACTTTAGACCCTGGAGGCCTCTCTGAGCATTTATTGGGTGAAGGGAGGGCCTCACTGCCTACAAGAGCCCCTGAGCTTGTAGCCGTATTATGCTTCCTTCCACACATTACTTCCCTCGGCTTCCTTTGAGAGGTGAGTTTTTTTAAAAGAGTTAGTTATTTATGCATACAAGAGCTGGGGTGTAGGCCAGAGGTGCGAGGGGTGAGAGGATTCACCAGAGACAGAGTGGGCAGCAGAATACACAGATGTACCAAAATCCACTGCTGATGGGAACAGCGGGCGAGTCAGGAGAGGTCTGCTGCGCCATGGGGGTCAGCTCCCTGGCCGGGGATCGAACTCCTGCTGCAGTGGCTGCAGATTGCTTCATAGTGCTGACACTTAATCCCTTGTGCCACCAGGGAGGCCCCTGAGAGGTGAGTTTTAATGAGGCCATTTCCCAGACAAGGAAACGGAGTTGAGAAAAGTGGCAGAGCTGGGATTAGAACCCCAGACTGTGCAGCTCCAAATCAGGGGCTGACCTCTGGAGGAGTGACAGGGAGACAGGTGCCGCTGTCCCGTAGCCCAGAGCTCCCGGCTAGCCCGAGTCCTTGTCCTCTCCCTGCTTGCAGGCCCCTCACAGTGGCACAAGCTGTACCCCATCGCCCAGGGAGACCGCCAGTCACCCATCAATATCGTATCCAGCCAGGCTGTATACTCGCCCAGCCTGAAGCCACTGGAACTTTCCTACGAGGCCTGCACATCCCTCAGCATCGCCAACAATGGCCACTCTGTCCAGGTGGACTTCAATGACAGTGATGATCGAACTGGTAAGTGACCCCCTCCAGAACCTGGCCTCCTGGCCCCTGGGGTCCTGAGCCTGAGTTGGGCAGGCTTAGGTGGGGCAGCGTGTTGTTGTAGGGAAGGAAAGCTCCACCACCCACCAGCTACGAAGCCTCAGGCTGAGCCTCTGTCTCCTTATGCATAAAATGGAAGCAATAGGTCCTGTTTTCCTTTGCAGGGTGATAGAGAGGAAAAATGAAAAGTTGAAGTGATGTAGTGCTGGCACATAGTAGATGCTCAACAAAGGCTAATTCTTCCTTCTCTTTCTTTTAGTGCTTTAGGTTGGGTAGGTTTATATTTCCTGGTCTGTCACTGACCTGAGTGTGGCGTAAGGCAAAGCCCTCCCATCTCTGTGATCTGCCCAAGTCCAGCAGAGCGAGAAGGGAGCAAAAATGTTCTGTGTGCCGGCCCCCTTACTACGCTCTCAGAAAGTGCTTCTGTTCATCTCAAGAATTTACCTCTAAAATGGGCAAACAGAGACTCAGTGAATAGGGGAGTGCCAGAATCAGCTTGGTCCAACTCCAAAGGTCCTCTCTCCAACCTACCCATAAGCTCAAGATCCTAAGCAGAGACAGGGCAGCAGGAACTTGTGGCAGGCCCTTCCAAAGTATCTCTGCCCTGGGATTAGAATCTATGTTCTTTGATGACAAACTCCTAGGCAGAGGCCTCAGAAGTCCTCATCAGTGAAGGGGTTTTGTCCTTCTGATAAGGCCTGTGGAGGTAGAGTGGGATGAGAAGGGAACTTGCTAGAGTTTCTCGGATAAGGACATGGTTGGTACTGTGCCCTTTCCTCCCCACCCTGGACAATGAAAGCATTCAAGGGAAGTTAAGTTTCAAATAGAATACCAAGAGGCAGAGAAGGGGAAGGAAGTCAGCCCTTCATTCAGAGAGGTGTTAGCTCCTTAGTGCTGAGTTTCCTGGTAGGCTAGGAAAAAAGAGAAAGTGGATCAGATAAGTTCTCGCTGCAGAATAGGGGCGATCTGTCAGCTCCTCAGAAGAAAGACAGCATTTCCTGGTACTGACGACTAAAAAAAAGTCTCTGACCCAGAGCTTTGGAAAGGGACATGGGCTTTTGATGATCCTAGGTGACAGGATATACCCCTCACAGCCTTCAGAGGTCATTGAGGCCTCGACTCAGTCATCAAAGCTCAGTGAAGGTCACTGCTATGGGAGAAGGTCCAAAAAGGACCTGCCTAGGGAACACTAAGCCAGGGACTCAGGCCCATCTGGGACTCCCTCCCCCGCCCAAATACCCAGGGCTCAGAGGTTAGCGAGGCAGTAGAAAGAGGGTAGGATTGGGAGTGAGGCAGTTGAGGCCCTGCCTCTCACCAGCATTGTGACCTTGGGCAGGACGCCTGCCTGTCTGAGCCTCAGGCCCACATCTGTCCAATGGCAGCAATAGTGTGTCCCACTCGAGGTCACTGTGGTGTTTGATGCCAGCAGAATGCTGAGCTCATCCTGAGTGCCAGTGCATGGCAGTGGGTTCTACGGCCAGGAAGGAGGGAGAAGACTAAGGGAGCAAATTCAAGGGGTTAGCGAGGGAGTTCACTCTGAGGGACCACACGATGCAGTCCCAGGTGGGGTGTGCTCACAGCTCCTATGGGGGAGCTCAGCCTGCAGGCCCATCTGCTCCACCCTCCTCAGGGTGAAGCAGTCTGATTGGGCCCCTGCCCAGCACCACCACCCCCAGATTTCCCTTGTCAACTGTCCAGCCTGGCCACGAACAGACACTGCTTTGCAGTTAAGGAAGGACAGGAGGGACCTCTGGACTATCCCTCCTCCACATCCTCAAGGGGCCCACTGGGGACAAGGCCCTGCCCTAGTCAGCCATTCTGGAGGAGCTAGTGGAACTCTGAGTCTGGGCCGTCACCTGATCCAGGGGCTCACATTCAGGCCTGGCTGGGGCTCCCTCCACTGCAGATCCCTTTCAGCTAGAAACTTAATCAGTCCCAGGAGGCCTCACGCATGGCCCCAGCTCCACAGGTATCAAGGTTGGAAAGTCACAAAACTAGCACAAGCAGGACCATCCAAAAAGACCTCAGAGGGACACCAGGGGTACCTGGATCTGGCCATCAGAACGAGGGGCCTCAGGAGCGGGCCTCTAGACAACACCTGGTCGTGGGGAGAATCAAGTTTCCGGGGAGGCTACACAGTGTGGTAGCTCTGTCTCAGGACTTATGAAGGAAATATGGACTTAAACCCTAGCTCAGTGCCTTGCTGTGTGAACTCGGGCAAATGCCTTATCCTCTCTGTGCTAGTTTCTTTACAAAACAGAGATAATTTTAAGTTCCATCCCTCACGGGCTACTATGAAGAAGACGCAAAATACTCCCCTGAACCAGCTCTAGGTCAGGGATCCAGACATGGAGTCTATTGTTAGTGGTAATGAAAGTGGGGGCGGCGCGGGACGCAAGGTCCCAGTTTCCATGCAAAACTGGGCAGGCATGGAGACACTGGCCACTTGGGGAGATGCACTGTCAGCACCAGCCTCCTCTGCCCCCTATGGCCTGCCAGGATTTCTGTCCAGGCCCAGCTAAGAATCAGTGGGACTGGGTGGTGCCTGACCCGAGCTCTGGGAGCCCAACGAGTTTTCAAAATGAAAACTGTATCCCCCTCCTGACTCCTACTGTAAGCCTGGCTCGGCTGCCTGGAGGTGGTGTGGGCCCTCAGACCCCCACTGCTGCATGCCCCACTTCTTCCTGCAGTGGTGACTGGGGGCCCCCTGGACGGGCCCTACCGGCTCAAGCAGTTCCATTTCCACTGGGGCAAGAAGCACAGTGTGGGCTCGGAGCACACGGTGGATGGCAAGTCGTTTCCCAGCGAGGTAGGACCCTCCTTTACCTGAATTCCTTGCCACCGGGGCCCTGGATAGTCAGGGACGTGCGGGGTGCCAGCGTGGGGCTCTGGGGAGGGTGAGGAGCACCCATAGGACTTTGGGAGAGACACCCTCGACCCACCCTAGAATGCGGTCTTCCACCTGAGCTCTGCCCTGGTCTGTGTGTCTAGAAGTTTCCTGAAGAGCAAATCCAGGGCCCCCCCAACCCTGGCTAATAACCTTTCGAGGGCTGAGCTTGGCATTCAAGGCCCTGCAGGAAGTGGCCTTGGCTGGTCTCATGTTCCCCTTCTCGCTCCCCATTCTGACCTGCAGGTGATAATTCCTCTGCCCACACCTGGCTTTTTCTTCCCTTCCAGGCTTTTGCCTATGCTGTTCTCTCTGCCCGGAATACTTTCCCCAAGGGTTTCATCTGATAAATTTGTACTTATTCTTTGGACTCAGCTGCGGGCGCCATGTCCCGGGGACGGTGTCACATTGGAAAGCCGTTATCTATTTTACAGTTAGTTTGTGAAAGGCAGGGCCCACGCTGATCCTCTTTGGATCCCTTGGGACTCAGAAAAGGGTTGGGCCCAAAGCAGGGTAGATGCTATCTGTGGCCCTTGGGGGAGCCCCTTGGGTCCCTCAGGAACCCCACCCTGGGAGATGTGATAGCCCACCCCTTCTGCAGAGGGTCAGGAGTCTGGTGGGAGAGATGGCCTGGCCCCAGCTCCCACTGTCCCTTGGAGGCGCTGAGCAATGGCCATCACCTCCCTTAGCTGCACCTGGTTCACTGGAACGCCAAGAAGTACAGCACCTTTGGGGAGGCAGCCTTAGCACCCGACGGCCTGGCTGTGGTTGGTGTCTTCTTGGAGGTGAGAGGTGGTTATCGGGGCGAGAAGGGAGGCCTGGCACTGCCCCTGGTTCCAGAACACAGTGGGCTCTGGGCTCACACAACCCTCTCCCTGACAGACGGGGGACGAGCACCCCAGCATGAACCGTCTGACGGATGCACTCTACATGGTTCGATTTAAGGTGAGACCTGGGGTCCAGGCCCCTGACACAGAGCAGCCTGGTGGGGAGGGAGGAAGAGGCCAGTCCATGGAGGAAGAGGCCAGACCATCCACATCTCCGTTCTGGCAGCAAAGCCTCTCCGAGACAGAGGGTGCAGGTCAGCCCCTGCTGCTGACTCCCCTTTATCAGGGAGAGTGGCCCCACTGAGTGCCTAGTGGGGTGTAGGATTGATAAGATGCTCATCGTGTTAATGTTCATCTCATAGGCAATGTCACTAAGGGGACAGCAGGCAGGGGACAGAAACTCGTGGCCAAAGAGCTGGAGGGGCTTCAGCTTGTATACACCAGCACAGTGGAGGGGCCCAGCCCAGCTGGGAGGCAGCATCTGGGAGCACAGATATTTGCCCATGGTTTGCATCCATGGGCTGAGACATGCAAATCTTGTTGACCAAATAGGGTGGGGAGGCTGCTGGTGTGGTCATGGGGGGAGTCCACGCTGATGCCTGGGTTCCCCTACCTTGCACCCAGGACACCAAGGCCCAGTTCAGCTGCTTCAACCCCAAGTGCCTCCTGCCTGCCAGCTGGCACTACTGGACCTACCCAGGCTCCCTGACGACACCCCCACTGAGCGAGAGCGTCACCTGGATCGTGCTCCGGGAGCCCATCAGGATCTCTGAGAGGCAGGTGAGTCCCGCAGGGCACAGGTAGAGGCCCACCTGGGGCATGAGGCTGTCCCTGCAGAACCCGCTGCCCGCGGCCCCACAGTCAAGGCTCCTGTCTTTTGCCAATAAACATGTGGATTGTTGGTTGGGCGCTGGCTTGACTGATACTCCTCTCGGCAAGGGGAGAGGGGAGACCCCTGGATCCTGGGACTGCCCCTACTGTGTGGGAACCTGAGCTGGAGCTGGGAAGAGCAGGGTCCAGGTTCAGAGGCCCAGAGCATGTAACTGAGGCTGGGGCCCCAAAAAGGGAAGGTGCGTGGAGGAAGATCTAGGGGTAACAAGAGGAAGGAAAGGACCCTATTCTGCCCTAAGTGTCTCATCTGCCTTCTCGAGATGGAGAAGTTCCGGAGCCTGCTCTTCACCTCCGAGGATGACGAGAGGATCCGCATGGTGAACAACTTCCGGCCGCCTCAGCCACTGAAGGGTCGTGTGGTCCAGGCCTCCTTCCGGGCCTGAGCTGCCCGCCCGCCCCGCGGCCACGAGGACACCGTCTTCCCAAGGGCTTCCACGTTCAGCAGACACCAAACCATCGAGGCTTCCTGCCCGGGGGGCGCTGCAGACCCCCTTCAGCCGGCTTGCTCATTGGCTACCCTGGGGGTTCTTCATGGGGCCCTCAAGTTGGGGACTCTCTTTAGCTGCCCCGGGGACCGGAAGGACAGGAGCCAAGCGCGGGCCCAGCCTGGAGCTGCCTCTGCTCTCCACGATCCAGGGGCCCCTGGGAACCTCCTCTTGCCCTCCCCACTGGCGGTAGCAGTGGTCCCGCCCCGAGCTCACACTGTGATGGATGAGACCTGAGCTCTCTGGGGCAGGCAGCTGGCACTGCCAGAAAGACTCAAGCAATAATCAGAGGTGGGCAGAGCTGCCCTCTCGGCATTACCTCTTCTGCAGGCCTCCGCCACACACACACCTCACTGCCAGGCCATTAAAGTCAGCCCGAGTCTGCCGGAGGCCACACGGCCTCCTCGCCTGCACCTGCTGCCGTGGCAGGCGCTGGCTGCAGCTTACACAGTTTCGCCTCTCGTCCTCACCCAGCCACCAAAGCCACCTCCGCGACAGTCCACCCCCGCATTGATTAATAAAGCCTTTCACCCACGCAGGGAGCACCCACTGAGAGCCTGTGCCGGGTCAACCCCGCTCCCCTGGCGGCCGCTCCAGCACAGGGTGTCGGGAGGGGCCTGGGAGGGACCTGGGCACTGAGCAGGTGAGGGGTCGACGAGGGCAGCGCAGGGGCTGAGCAGGCAGACCAGAGGGGGGCCATGCCTCATCTGAAATTAAACTCCACTTGGTACTCTAAGGCAGAGGCCTGAACAGCATGTCGGGGGCAGAGGGGAGAGCAGGTAGAGATGTTCACCTGGGAGAGGGTGTCTGAGGCGCTGAGAAGGAGGTGCGCCTGCGGCCCTCTCCCAGGGCCAATGGGGAGTCCCAAAGGGTCTGGAGTAGAGGGGGCAGGGCCAGAGGTGCAGGGGGAAGGACCCTGTGGAGTGTGCCAGGGGGTGAGGAGGGCACAGGAGTGGCAACTGGGAGGAGGTGGCGAAGGTGGGGAGCTGGAGGAGAGAGATGTAGGAAGGGACCCCAGACAGCGTGGGCTCTGTGAAAGAGAAGGGGGTGAGGTGTGTCCTGGGCTGAGAGGGGCACCTTGTGGACTGGGATCAGAGAAAGGAATGGCCAACATTTAGGGTGCCAGACACACAGCCCCTTGCCCCCCAAAATTTGTAAAAAAGTTTTGTTACTTTAGCATAATTTCGGACACACAGAAAAGTTGAAAGAATAATACAGTGAACCCCACAGGTTCCTCATCTTCGCTCACACGCTCACTCCCTCTCCACATACATACAAGTTTAACTCTGTTTTCCTAAAAACAGGACGTTGACAAGAAACCAAAGCTGGGAAATGAACATTGTCCTGTCACTGTTGTCTAATCAACACACCTTACTCAGATTTTGCCAATAGGCCCTAGAATGTCTTTTGTAACCAAAAAATTACCAGATCATGCTCCACATTCTCTTGTCCAATCCATCCAGTCTCCCAGGACATTGGGCTGGGCGGGGTTGGGGGGTGTGGGGTGTGGGCACAGGCTGGTTAGGGAGCACCCTGGCTCTCAGTTGGGTGTGTCAGGTGTTTCCTTGTGAAGAGATTCAGATTATTCACTTTTCAGAGTATCACCACCAGATGATTCTGTGTGATTTTCAGCCTCACAATGTTAGTTCGTCCTATAATTGGTTAGCGTTGGGTTTCCATGTAATGGAAGCATGATGTCCACACAGCAAAGCGCACATATACTCGATGTCTGAACACACTGGTAGAACCAGACCCCAGATCAATAAAACTACATGTCCACCACCCCAAAAGCACCATGACCTCACCAACTTCCTGCCTCCCCAAAGTCACTACCATCCTGAGTCCTAATAACATCAATTACATTTGCCTGGTTTTGACCTTTGAGTAAGTGAAATCACTCATTTCAGAAACCTTATTGGTTTCTGGCTTTTTGTTTCACTTTAGGGTATTGAGATTCTCAGAACCTACCTTTTTGTAATCATAAATGCAGAGCCTCCCATGAAAATCAAAGAAAGTCTATACATAATTTTTAAAAATCAACTTAATTCTTTAGTGGTCCTATGAAGGATAGTCATTTCTAATATATAATAAACTATATTTATATATACAAGTAAGGTAATTTTTAATAAAGTGATATGTGCGTCGGTATGTAAATGTGCTTGCAAACACACACACACACACACACACACACACACACACATACCCTTGCGCTATCCAGGAGTTTCCAGCAATCTGCTTCCGCCCCCTGGGGGCCACATGTGAAGCTGTCACTTGCTTCCTGGTCCCTCCTAAACACTGATCCAGCAGCAGGCAATAAAGCCTGGCTGTGCTGGGAAAGAATCCTGCTCCGCAGGTTAATGCTTGTTAAAACATCTAAAATATTTTGGGCCTCCTCTGCCGGCGTAGCGCCCGTTCGATCCCCGGCCAACGGTGAGGGTCCCACCAAAAAAAAAAAAAAAAACACAAAAAAACATTTAAAATATTTTTGCTGTATGTGCTCCAGCTTTCCTGGCACCCTAAGTTCTTGCTTTCTTTACTAGCCAAGGGTTTCAGCACTGTGCAGACCAGGCCAATAAGCACTGCTGAGCTGCTGGGAAGGGCATGCCTGGAGGGTTGAGGTACTGGCCCCCCTGCTCCCCAAAGGCAGAGAGGTCAGAGGAGGGGCCTTCCAGGTAGGGGAACCCAGGGGAAAAAGCCTGGAGGTAGTTACAAGGAACTAAAGATTAGTGTGGAAAAAAGCTGCATTAAATTTGACCCAGTCTCTAGCACAGCCTGGGGATGGGGGTGTCCTGATTACAGTGACAGGTCCTGGCTCTTTAGACAGAAATAACTCTGGAGGCGAGAAAAGGAGGACAGCTCTGCCTCAATACCCCTACATACTCCCCTTCCCAAGACCTCATTCTGTGGCCACCATAGCTGGGGGAGGGGCCCAACACCATAACACACTTGGGGATACTAGCCTTCCTTTAGCAGATGGAGAAATGGGCCCCAAATTTGGCTGAGGTCTTGCCCAAATCATGTATCCCATTGATGGCAGGGCTGGGACTCTGATCCTAGGTCCAGCCTCTTAAACCACCACAATACATGGGGTAGGTGTTCTGTGCCAGAGGAGGGTCTTATCCTTTGGAAAAACAGGTGTAAAAAATGTTGGGGGTGGGTTAAAAATGAGCCCTGAGGCCACGGTACTAGTAGGAAGACAAAGTAACTAGTTCACGGATTCTCAGCCTTCTCAGAAGTGGGTTTTTCTAATGGAGGATTTGATGGTCACTACTGGTTAATGTAAGTGTATTTGGTTGCCCTTTGGGTGGGTCTGAGATGCATTAGCCCTGCATTGCTCATTTGGGGGTCAGGTTCAGTAGAAATGCATCGTTGTTAGCACCCACAGAGATGAAGGCACCTAATTATCACCTTTACCTAAAGAAGGCTAACCCAACACACCTATATTGAAAATGTGAGTGTCTCCCAGGAGGAGTGTACAGGAGTTTTTTATGTGTCTTGGGAGAAGCCCAAACTGGCCTCTCAGGTTATTAATGTGGTTTAGAAGCGTCTAAAAGAGTGACTTGGCAGGGCCTAGACTATCTCAGCCACAAACATGAGCCCTGGGAAAACTGGAGAAGTCAGTTTAGATCTTTGGATTCTATTTTGCTCTTCCAAGAATGGATGATGGAGGCGTCACCAGATACAAAGTGTAGGTTCTGCCAGAGGTAAATAGATTTTATAGGCGAAAGAAAGGTCATAGTGATATGTTTGAATTGCTGCAATAAAGTTGGATGAATTCCTTTTACTGCAGGATTTTTCCATGCCTTGACAGAGAATGCCTTCCACGGGTGGACAGACCCTTCTGGCACAGAACATTTTCTGGGATCAGCCAGAAAAGGGCCAGGTGCTGGCCCAAGCTCTCTCCAGCCCTGACCCAAGGGCTGGAGATTGGGCAGGCAGCCCTGGCCATAAAATCCTAGCCCTTCCCTCTCCCTCACCCACAAGGCCAGGACCTTTGTCCCCAATGTTTCTTTCCTGGATTGCTCTCTCCCAGATATTGCCTGGCTCACTCCCTACCTTTCTTCAGATCTCCCTCCAAAGCCTGTCTTATCGGAGGCATCTCACCTGACGTAAGACCTCAAATAGCTCTTCCCTTCACTCCCCACCCCAGGGCTAGAGCAAGGGCCCACGTGCCTTCTTCCTTCCCCTTCCTGTGTGCACATGCACAGGACAGACATCTTCCTGCTTATTAAATACAGGCTGCACATTTAAAAAAGAATCAAAGAAAGAAAGAAATAGAAATGGAAAAAACGTGAAAGTGCCTCCAGTTTAGAAGAAGGAAGCATTGTTAACTGCTGGCTTGTGTCAGACTCAACTTTCCTCTGCACACAAAGATGCAGGCCCAAGAGAGAGGGAGGAGGAGAAGAAGTGTATGAATAAGTGTTGCTATTGTCAAGAAGACTTCTCTGCTATAATCTGTTTTTTCCCTCAGTTCCAGCCAATAGCTCCCTCCTGGCCTCTCCAATCCCATGCTGTGGCCCGTTAGGGGCAGGTCACCACCCAGGTCCAGCGAGGGTCACTGTGGCCCAGGGCACTGACACTCCACCCCCACCTGCCCTAGGTCCCCGGCTTCTGGAGGAGTTGCCGCTGCCACCCCCAGCCAGGGAGGGGCCCCTCTGGGGGGATGCAGAGAGGCTCCCCTCTCACACACGGAGCTTCTTGGAGAGCTGCTTCAGGGTAACACAAGCCTCACCAAGACGCTTGCTTGCTCAGCCAGCTCAGCCAGCTGACTTCTGCGTGAGAAAGACCGAGAATTCTGGGGGGCTCCTAGGCTCTCTCAATGTCCTGTTGCCTTCCCTTTCCCGTCATAAGATATGAGTTCTGGCAACTTGGCATGCAAGTGCTAACTACAAGGCCTGCTCGACATCCCTTTCCATGTAGGTCTACAGAGACCCAGAGAGAGAGAGAGAGAGAGAGAGAGAGAGAGAGCGCCTGGCCCAGGATCACACAGCAAGCAGGAGACTTGTGCCCCCAGGCTGAATGGAAATTCTGGTCCTCCAGTGAATAAGGCCTGAGTGGCGGTGGGGGTGGGATGATGGTGGCAGAGGGGTGATCACATTGTGTTTCCAGGAGAGGGGGCCCCTCTGGCCCAGGTCATCACAGCCTGGGGTGCAGCTACCTCATCCAGCAGGGGAAAGGGCTCTGTTGTGTTTGGAGAAGGCTTAAAGAGACTGAGAAACACAAGTCATATTTCCCTCCCTCCTCTCCAAAGAGTCTGCCCAGCCTCCTCTAGAGAAGGGCCATCTTCAGCTTCAGTTCTATGGGCTAGGAGCTCAACGCGCCCATTTTCAGGGCTCCTGATAACGTGGCGAGTCCATGGGTGCAGACGCTTTGGAGCAGGTTTGAGAAAAGGACTGAGGCAAACTTAAATTTTATAAAAAAGACTCAAGCCTTGGTCATTAGCATCCTCAAGGCTGGCCAAGTGTGTCCCTGAGTTGGCTGCTCTGCACAGACTGGTGAGCGTTCCCCTGGAAGAAGAGAGCGTCCCATGTGCCCACATGTGTGGTCGATGCCAGGAAAAGCCATGGTGAAAAAGGAGGGGTGAAAAGGAGGTGAAAAGGAGGGGAAGATACATGGTGAAAAGGAGGGGAAGATACATCATTTGATTTGGGGGGGTACTGGTTTCTGAGACTGTCACCTCAGGGCACAGATGTGCTCAGCTCAGCAGGAAAACGTTTCTGGGTTTTTCCACATGCCTTGGGGAGAGGCGAGGCCTCAGCAAGGGCAAGCTCATGTGCTCAGTGGTCAGCAAGAAAACATCTGGGCTTCTATAGACCATATATCCGCTGGATGTTACAATGTTGACATTTAGCTAGAAGCTGGCTGCACCATCTCTTGTGACACAAGGTCAGCCTCCAATCCAGCTTTCCTAACACTCCGTGGAAGGATTTATCTACATAGCTCTGTAATCAAGGGACTTTGCCAGAATAATCCAAGAACTCTATCTTCCTACCTATCACTGCTCAGACTGTTTGATTTTCAATTTTAAAAGGGTAAGTTTTTTAGGAAAAGGAGAAAACCAGACTGTCTTTTTAAAATACAGTTTTGCTTTTGAAAGTATGAGCCGCTAGATGAAGTAATGTAAATGTATTGTCGAAAAATAAACTTCACCTGAATAGATTTAGGGATCAGACTGGCTTCAGTGGTGGGTGCAAGGGGTTAAGCACAGCACTATGAAGCTGTTCGCAGCCTCTGCAGCACGAGTTTGATCCCCAGGGAGATACCTACATGGCGCAGCAGACCTCTCCTGTCTCGCCCGCTTCTCCCCTCAGCGGTGTATTTCAGTCAGTCTGTCTGTTCTGTCCCCCACTCTGTCTCTGGTGAATCCTCTTACCCCACACACCTCTGGCCTGTGCCCCAGTTCTTGTATGCATAAATAAATTTTTAAACATCTAAAAAAAAAAAATAAAGGAGTCAGTGGTGGGGCAGCACTCCCTTTAGCAAGCAGAAAGGCCCTGCAAGGAGTTGTACAAAGTGGAAGGTTTTTTATACTCAGAGGTTTGGACAAGGATAGTAGCAAACAGAGATTATTTGAAACAAAGACGCCTTAGTGTGCAGGTGACCTCACTAGTGCTGATGAAGACATCTGAGATTGACTGATTTAAAGTCCATTTTGGGGAGAGGCTGAAACGGCAACCAGGGGCTTGGCGTGAGTGACTCTACATGGGACCTATTTCTTTTTTTACAGTATGTTTCATGTAGAGAATTTGCAATGTTCAGCTTTAGGATAAATTAAAAGAAGTAGAATTAGTGGAGCAAAGATGTATCCATTGAGTAGCCCCAATTTACATTCTGCCCAGCCAGATGGCAGTGCCCACTCACCCGCATGAGATATGAGTCATGTGTTAACTTTGATTGACGATCATCAGTACGTCATTTTCACTCACATTTCCCTGGTTTTGACTAAGGTTGAATATTTTTTACACATTTTCTTGGAAAACTGAGCTGCTGCCTTCCCTTCTCAAGGGAGAGATAAGCCCTTTCCTTCATTTTTTCTTAGACAGGAAGCCTTGGGACACCGGATGGAGTTCTTGGACGAGACATCATATATGGGGTTACTGAGCTGCCTATAACCTTTAAAAAAAAGTTCCATGGGGCCTGCCTGGTGGCACAAGGGGTTAAGATGCAACCTATGAAACTGTCCGCAGCCACTGCAGCATGAATTCGATCCCCAGGCAGGGAGCTACCCACACGGCACAGCAGATCTCTCCTGTCTCCCCGCTGCTCCCCTCAGCAGTGTGTTTCAGTCAGTCTGCCTGTTCTGCTCCCCACTCTGTCTCTGGTGAATCCTCTCACTGCCCCCCCCCGCACCCCCACCTCTGGCCTGTGCCCCAGTTCTTGTATGCATAAATAAATAAATCTTTTTTAAAGAAGTTCCATGCACACGAATTCCTCTAGGGCACATCTTTCCTCCGGAGGTGGTGCATGTGTGCCAGCCAAGAACTGTGGTTTCAGACTACTGATGTCATTTGTCTCAAGTATGCGTGGTGGGGGCAGCCCTCCATGTGTATGCAGTGGCGGGTTCAGGACTCACACATTTTAGGCACCCATAATAGCCTGCAGATTGAGTAGGTAACTGTGCTGCCTCTGTCTTAAAGGATGACCTTCTGAAACCCGAAATGAGCTAGCTATACCAAAAAAAATTGTGCTATTTATTTAGAATCCCTTAGAATTATTTTTAGTTTGACACTGAAACAGCTCTCTCAGTATTCAGGAAGAGAGAGATTCTAAATTCTGATTCACTGGTAGAACTTCTGGAAAGGGTCAAGGGTGAGTGGCAGTATAAAAATACCAGTGGCAAGTCTGACAGGAGAGGTTTTATGGCAGGTATGTCCTTGGGTCCAGGTAGTCTTCTGGGGAAGCCAGTGTGTCTTCCAGAAGACCACATCCTCAGAGCTATCAGTGGCCTGTTCTGGTGATCTATATATATATTTTTTTTTTTCTGTCTCCAGGGGCAGACTTGCCACTGTTAGTACTAGATTCTAGTAAAACAATGTATAAGGAAGCAAACAATAACTGGAATCCCACAATGGATGGAACAAGAGAATACCTGGTGTCCCGGTCATCAGCTGTTCTCACCCTTCCACCACTAACGTCAGGGCAGTGGCCAAGCCAGTGTAAACTGTCGGTTCAAGGTCCAAAGGCCCCATGGGGAATCGATGAAGATTTCAAAGCTGGAGTCTGGGTTGCAGCAGTCACTCTGGCTGCCCTGCAGAGCAAGGGCTGCTGGACGGGGCGGAAGCTGGAGGTGGGGAGGCCAGATGAGAAGATTAGAACAGGGTGCTGGAGGAAGTGGGGGCAAATGTTTACATTGGAGAGATTTTAGGAGACTATACTAACAGGACTAGATAACCGACGCAGGCGGGGAGCAGAGGTGGGACCGGCCTAGATGACTCGCAGACTTCTAGCTTGGGGTTCTGGGCAGAGTATGGGGCTATTACTTGATTAGGAGAGAAGAGAAAAGAGCAGGTTTGCCCGGGATAATTTGTGTTTAAAGGGTACTGAGGGCCTCCAGGGGTGAGGGTGGTGGGGGCGGGATGTCCAGCTGGTTGATAATTAGGGGGTAGCCCTCGGGAAAGCCCCCGCATAGTCCCCCCTCCACACACGCACACAGGAGGGGAACCCCTGGAGTACTGTTAACAACAGCAAGGAGTGGGAGAAGTTGCTGGGTTGGGGTACCCAGAGGGGGGTGGTCACGTGGTGGGCCCGCCCCGCCCTAGGACTGCCGGCCCCGCAGCAGGAGCACCACCTACCTGTCCGCGGGGCCGAGGGGACGGCGGGGGGTGGGGGTGGGTGGGGGTGCGGTGGGGGTGGGGAGGACCCGGATTTGGTCCCTCCGGGTCGGCCCTCTCGCCCATTGGGCAGCTTCCCCGTCCGTCAGGGCCCCGCCTTCGCGGAGGAGCCAATGAGGGCCGGCGAGAGCGCTTCCTCCTCGCGGCGGCTCTGCCCGGGCTCCTCGCGGAGCGGAGCGCGAGTGGGGCCGGGCACTTGCGCACGCGCGGCGAGGGACGGCCCACGGCGGCGGGGCTGCAGGGCGCGGGCGCCGAGGTAGGGCGGGGGGTCGAGCGCGGGACCTGCGAGCCGCCCCCCCCCGACCCCGGCCCCGGCCACGCCGGCGCCGGCCCCTGGCCGCGGCATGGGGGGTGACCGGGTGGGGAGCCGGGCGGGGGGCGGCGAGGCGAGGGCGCGGACCCGCGGCGGGCAGGGGCGCGCGGGGCGCAGGGCCGCGGTCACCCCGCAGCGCGCACACGCCACGTGGGCCGGGCCCCCCGGAGCCCTCGCTGCGCCCCTGCAGTCCCCGGAGCGCCCCTGTGCGCGCGGCGTCCGGGACGAGCACCCGGTCTACCCGCTGGAAATGGGGTGTCGGGGAGCACCGGGCCGCCGGGGCGCGCTCGGGGGGCCGGGGGGGGCGCGGGGGCTGGAAGGAGCGCGAACTCGGGAGCCCCGGACGCCCCGCTCCTGTCTGGAAGCTGTGGGGCAGACTTGAACTTGGAACCCACTAGTTTTATTTAGGGACGGGCAGTGGTTTGGGGTCCAGGCCGTGGCAGACGGCTCTGCGGCGGACACCGCTGCCCGGCTCCCCTGCGGGGCCGCGGGGTGCGGGGGTGGGGTGGGGTGGGGTGGGTGGGGGTGGGGCGATCAGGCGCCCTCTTGTGCCGGGACTGACCTCTCCGGCCCCGAGGTCTGCCCGGGTGGGCTTGGAGGGGGCACTGGGTGGGGGAGGAACAGTCTTCAGCTACACCCCAGATTTGGGGAGGCCGGGATTCGTAAATGAAACCCGAAAACACGTGGGAAACACCCCTCCTCCCTGGTCACCCGAGAAAATAGAAATAGAAAGTAGAGCAGCTTTTTTTTTGTCTAAGGAAAAATGCCACCAGAGGCTGTCGAGGGCGCTAGGAGACTGTTTCTTCATGCCCTTGCGGCGGCAGATGGGAACCTTTTGGAAATAATCAGTTTGGCAAGAAGTCTGCACCCTTTGACCCACTGATTCCTCCTTTGGAAAATAAGTAGGGGAAAGGTTGGCACAGAAGGGCGTGCGGTTGGGTATTTTATAAATATCCAGGGGGCAAGAAGGCCCCTTCCCCAGCACAGAGAATGGGTAAGTGCGTCATGAATGGTTTTGGCCCAAATGGGATATGACGGGTCCATGAAATCTACTGTCAGTAAAATGCTCTTAACAGAAAACAAAACAAAGTGTGGTTACAACTATATAAAAAGGAGGGTTGGCCTGGTGGGGGGTGAGACTATATTAGACTGGCGTGTGCCTAATGATTCATGTAAAGCTACCCTGGTCAGAGGGGAAGGGATGTATTTCATTAATCCTCACAAAACCTTACGAGATTTGTGTTCCCATCCCACTGATGAGCAGCTGGGGCTCTGGCAAGTGAAGCAGGGTGTCTGATAGTTCTTGTTTGTTCTATCTGGTGTGTTCAATTGGGTTTTCCATCACTTACCTCCAATCACTTTGTTCACGATTGTAGCAAAGTAAATCTTTTCCCAGTCAATATTTTTATGAAATTAAAATCGAAATGTTCATGAAATCTTTATTTTTCAGGTTCAAAAACCTTATTGCTGCAGGAATTCTTACTGGTACAGTTGCAGGATGTCAAGTACTGTGTCATACTGGATCTTAAATTCTGCAAGGAGCAGCATCGCCACATTGCAAGGGGGTGGGCGTTTGTACTCGAGGTGTGCCTCAAATAGGAATAAGTCAAAATGGAGCCTCTTTTCTCCTGCACCAGCCACCCTAAAGAGTCTTCCATGCAGTGGCTTTGCGCCACAGAAAGCTTACAGACACACTTCCACCGAGGAAGATGATTTCCACTTGCAGCTGAGCCCTGAGCAGGTAAACGAAGTGTTGCGTGCTGGTGAGTCATCCCACAAGATTCTTGACCAAGTCAGCCACGTCCCAAATTCTGTCTTGCGATTTGAGAGCAACCAGCTGGCTGCTAATTCCCCAGTGGAGGACCGGCTAGGGGTCGCCTCCTGCCTGCAGACCAACGGACTGATGTTTGGCGTCTTCGATGGACATGGTGGCCACGCGTGTGCTCAAGCAGTGAGCGAGAGGCTCTTCTACTACATGGCAGTGTCGCTGATGTCGCAGCAGACCCTGGAGCAGATGGAGGGCGCGATGGAGAACATGAAGCCCTTGCTGCCCATCCTGCAGTGGCTCAAGCACCCCGGGTACAGTATCTATAAGGATGTCACCTCTGTGCACCTTGATCACCTCCGTGTCTACTGGCAGGAGCTGCTTGACTTGCACATGGAAATGGGGCTGAACATTGAAGAAGCATTAAAGTACTCCTTCCAGAGACTGGATTCTGACATCTCACTGGAAATCCAGGCGCCCCTGGAAGATGAGATAGCAAGAAACCTTTCGCTCCAGGTGGCTTTCTCCGGCGCAACAGCTTGCATGGCCCATGTCAATGGAGTTCACTTGCATGTGGCCAATGCTGGCGACTGCCGGGCCATCCTGGGTGTCCAAGAGGACAATGGCATGTGGTCCTGTCTGCCTCTCACCCGAGACCACAATGCATGGAATGAAGCCGAGCTGTCTCGGCTGAAGAGGGAGCATCCTGAGTCAGAGAACAGGACGATCATCATGGACAACAGGCTGCTGGGCGTCCTCATGCCCTGCAGGGCTTTCGGGGATGTCCAGCTAAAGTGGAGTAAAGAGCTACAGCGCAGTGTCCTGGACAGGGGCTTTGACACTGAGGCCCTCAACATCTATCAGTTTACCCCCACACACTACCATACGCCCCCCTACCTGACTGCTGAGCCTGAGGTCACCTACCACAGGCTGAGGCCCCAGGACAAGTTCCTCGTGCTAGGCTCCGATGGCCTGTGGGACGTGCTGGACAATGAAGACGTGGTGAGGCTGGTAGTGGAGCACTTGACCGAAGAGGGTCAGCACAAGCCAGACCTGGCCCAGAGGCCCACCAACCTGGGACTCATGCAGAGCCTGCTGCTGCAGAGGAAAGCCAAGGTCCACGCCGCCGACCAGAACGCGGCCACGCGTCTCATCAGACACGCCATCGGGAGCAACGAGTATGGGGAGATGGATCCCGAGCGGCTGACAGCAATGCTGACGTTGCCGGAGGACTTGGCGAGGATGTACAGGGATGATATCACTATCACTGTGGTGTATTTCAACTCAGACTCGATTGAGACATATTACAAGGGGAGTTAAGAGAGTCTCATCCTCTTAGGTTAACTTAAACACTTTTCTAAAACATTTTCTCTTACTCTTAAACTGGCTTTTCAAACCTAACTTAAAAGGGCAGGCAGATGTAGCTTGCTTAATAATAGACTAACAGGCAAAAAAAAAAAAAAAAAAAAAGCGCCAAAAAAATAAAAAAGATGACAAAAAACATCAGCCTAGGTTTAAAAACAGCAGCAGTGATTTGATGTCCCTGCCTGTTTGAGTTACCTCTCCTCTGCAGAGAATTAGAGTGTGGAGACCATAGATTGGCTTGGTAGTCCTTGGTAGTCCTTTCATAAAGACTCTATTGTTAGACTGTCAGCCTGAGCCTTCAAAGGGTAAATCTAATTGTGATGCCTGGAACTTTGAAAAACTCGAGGATCTTCTAATCTTGCTGCAAAGTCTGCAAAATTAATCATTCTCAGTTCACAGTCATGGCCTTCTAGACTATGAAGGATAGGTTTTGTTTTATAATTTTTAAATTATTAAGACCTAGGTTTATAAGGCATATTACATGACAGTTTTCTATGCAATATTCTAACTCCTTTTTGGTAGTTATATTTGTGAAGACATTTTATAAGACTACATTCTAGTTCTGTTTTAGTTTATTTTAAAACCAAGTCCTCCAGTTTGCAAAAAGGCCTGCCATAAGCAGGCTTAGAATAACTTTTGGTTTTCAGCCGAGGATGAGGGGGCCGAGGCCCCTGGACTAGCTGGAATTTGGGCAACTTCAGTCTTTCACTGTGTTCCACCCCCCTTAACCTTTGAGCCATGCTGACCTTCATTCCTGACCTTTCCTGAATCAGTAAAATCGCCTCCTGGGCTTAATCTCTGAAGATTTATTTAAAGCACTTGACCTTTTTGGTTATACCTCTCAAAAATTCTTCTGTTAATTCCACCTACTACTCCTTCTACCTCTGCTATACTGAATTCCTTCAACCTGCTGCTGCTGACTAGCAAGCAGCACAATCTAGAAAGAATGCTCCTTCCTCACATGGTTGCAGGGAATAAGATGTGATTGCGTCTGGTAGTTGTGACGGACATGGTGTACGCAGTGCGCTGTGGACTTCAGATTCGGCAGAAAGGTGAAAACGTGAAGGACCTGAGAACACTCAGTGGGCAAGTCTCTGTCTGGATCCTGAGAGGCAGTGGGAGCAGAGGGGGGGTGACATGTCAGATGGGACATTGACCCGAGACAGGGATAAAACCATGAGGACCCTCTTTGGGGAAATGTGTTTTATGTTTTTACAAAGAAACAATGGGAAATATGATATGTCCCTAAATGGAAGCACAAATATAATCCCACAAAACAGGCAGTTTTATCTTCCTACACCCCATTGCTTGAGCCCCCTCCTCATTTCAGCCCCTTGGGCCTTGCAAGGAGAGAAAAACAAATAGCTAGCTGTGGCTTCCTCATTCCTGTCTGTTGCAGTGCCCTTCATGTGTTGGGACGCTTCCAGCATGGGGACATGTCCCTGCACATTTTTCAATGCAGCTGTTCAGGAATATGACTTCCACTAAGAAATTCTCTTCTAGGTGCTTAAGTATTGTTCCTTGTACCCTGAAACCATCATTACTTCTGAACTTCTAGATCTTATCTTGGAAATGTGCATTACTACCCTTCTGCTAGCGTGAAGGCTTGTTTCTCAAACTGAGGACACTGCTTGTCCAACATCCTTTGTTCTTAATGCCAGCTAAATCCTAACATGTCCTCGGAACACTTACTGTGATTACAGTGTCGGAATCCTATTTTGGAGACTAGCCCAGGTCATAAATGGATCTGGTTCAGTAACTTGTGGGACAGATGATTGAATACAGACTTCCCACCTGTTTCTCTAAGTGGATCTGTGTTTCTCCTCTGCCTAATAGATTTTCTGCTTTCTATCTGGTAAATTAAGAGAGAAGAAAAGTCAGCCTGTCATCTACCTTTCCCTCTGTGAATTGTCAGTTCCACGAATGTTCCAAGGAACACCTCCTGGTGAAACCCCAGCGTGTCTTGCCTCCCTGACTACTATTCTGCTGCCTTGTCCTCAAGGCCCACGGGCTGCTGCTTTTAAGAACACTGGGATTGAGAGGGCCCGTCGGGTCTTCCAAGGCACTTATCATTCCTCTTTTGTAGAGATTTCATTATTGAGATTTAAACTGAACAATAACAATGAGATTGATTGTTAATGTTTTGGATGTAACTTTTGAATGAAGTATACTTTGGTGCTTAAAATTACATATTTATCATTTTAGGTAAGAAATGGTAATAGTGCCATAATTTAGATATTTTATATATATATATACATATATATAAATTTAAAGCTCTGCTGATTCTTGGGGTTGGTCAAGATGGACAGAGAGGATGGAATTACTTCTAAGTTAGTTTGTTAGGTCAAGTTTCTTAGATGCAATGGTCTTGGATGTTTGTAACAGTAAAACTAATTTATTATAGTGAAAATGTAAACTTTGATGTTGGTGAATATATAAACCTGTTTGGCCTAGAAGTCTAATGGGTCTAAAAAGATCTCTAGTTTAGGGTACACCGGGCAAAGTTCAGATTCGACAATTGAACTGGCACCTCCTACACATAAGTGAAATATAAACAGTTTGAATTGAAGCTCATTAAAGAAAAGAATAATTGCATGGAACAAAAAGATGTTCAGATAAGTCTAGCTTGACTCTTGTCCATCTGGCCCTGGTGACCAATCTTCATTGACAGCTTTTGGGAAGCTTTACCTTCCTAGGTTTAGTCAGAGCATCCTGGAACTGAGCCATCCTAGTTTCCTAAAGTGGTTCATTCTTCTCTTTCCCGTGGCAGAAAAGACTCTGGGGTAGTCTTGGAGCTGGGGTATAAAAGATTGGTGCTACCCCTGGTGAGGGTTGCTGCTGTGTGTTTGCCCAAGTGGAAAGCACTGCTGTGTGACCATCTCCTGAGCCAGCTGACGTTCCATCCCTTCCGCCCTGGGCACCTGATGTTTAACTTGCCTCCTAGAAAATATTATCAAGCATTTACTTGGAAAATTTATTAACCATGTTCTTTAATAATTACTGACATTTGTCTTTCAAGCTGTCTACCAAATGTTCATATTGGACATTGATTTTCTAACCATGAAGAGATATTTAGATGAATGTTATAAATAAAAGAGGCAAAATGAAACTTGTTTTCTTTTGGCTTGGATTCTATTCTTTTTTTTTTTTTAGGTCCTTAGGTTAGGAGGTTTTGTTCTACCACCATTATCTGGCCATGGAAAATTCTAGGCTGTTCAAGAGTCCACTCAAAAGAGAAGTTATCTCTGCAAGTTTTTGGTGACTGCTGACCACACAAAGTCCTTGTTTGGTGTTAACCCTGTGTAGGGGGACTTGAAAAGAAAGAAAAGGTAGTGAAGGCCTTTGTTGTAAGCATGCAAGTTCTGCTGGGATTTCTTATTTTTTAGCTGAACTTGTAAAACCAGTTTCTGTGCTTATTTTTTTTAAAAAAGGTTTATTTATTTATACAAGAACTGGGGTACAGGCCAGATGTGCAGGAGGGTGAGAGGATTCACCAGAGCCAAAGCGGGGAACAGAACAGGCAGACTGACGAAATACACTGCTGAGGGGAGCAGTGTGCAAGACAGGACAGGTCTGCTGCGCCATGTGGGACCCTTGCCGGAATCGAACCGGCGCTGCAGAGGCTGCAGACAGCTTCACAGCACTGCACTCAACCCCCTGCACCACCAGGGGAGGCCCTTCTGTGCTCATCTTAAATGCAATATGGGAGGCAGCTACCTAGAGAAGACCCTCCTACATCCCACCAACTGAACTATATAGCTCATTGCCTTGGGTGTTACAGGGGCCTGGACTGGGTGCTCCCTAAAAGGCAAATACAACTATTACATCATTAGTACTTTACCGTGGGCTGGTTAGTTGAGCTGGATCTTAAGGAGGAGCAAATTTGGGGGAGGGAAGCGTAAAAATGGTGTGTGTGGGGTCTGGGAAGTTTCAAGAGGAGCTATTACCCTCTTTTTGACATGATACAACAGGCCCCTGAGTTGAAAAAAACCTGTGACACCACAGTAGAGTTAGATTTGAACCTAGTCCGCAGCCTACACACTTGTCTCAACACTGGGCTTTCAGAAATGGATAATAATGCATGAAAAATCTTTCATTGCACAATTTTGGCCCAGGGTGGGTGGGGATGAGGCGGAGAAGTAGGTGGTGCTGAAAAGAAACTAGAAGGCATTTTTGGTTTTTGGTCATTGCTGAGAATAAACTAGAAAGTTGTGCTAACTCTTTTGAAATGCCTTTGGCTATTATAAGTCAAGCTAGATACACTTAACATAGACTTTCCAATATCCCATCATTTGGAACATCATAAAAACAGGAATAACAAGAGTTACATTTAAAAAGTTGAGCTCTGTTTTTTCATTTCTTGTTTGTTTGTTTGTTTTTTTAAATTTTATTTATTTTATCTTTTTCATCTTTTTAAAATTTTTTTTTAAAGGATCCAATCTTTTTTTTTTTTTTAAAGATTTATTTTTTTATTTCTACAATAGCTGGGGTATAGGCCAGAGGCACAGGAGGGTGAGAGGATTCACCAGAGACAGTGGGGAGCAAAACAGGGAGAGGGACCGAAATACACTGCTGAGGGGAGCAGTGGCGAGACAGGAGAGATCTGCGGCGCCGTGAGGGGAATCTCCCTGGCCTGCCGGGAATCAAACCCACGCTGCAGAGGCTGCGGACAGCTTCACAGTGCTGTGTTCAACATACTGCGCCACTGGAGAGGCCCCATTTTTTCATCTTTATCGCTTTCTTCTTAAAAATTATTTTGAGCTCTTTCGTTAGAAGGGGAAAAATTAAACTTATACTGTTCCTTTCACCCCTAGACCTTTTCCCATTTTACTTAAGATTGGTAAATGCTCTTAAGCGGCTCCCAGCCTGGTGACGGCTCCCTCTGGGATGGGTGAACCTTCACAACTGCTGTGGACCCATGCGTCTGCTCCTTTGGCCCCAGACCTTTTCTGTCCCACAGGGGAAGTCTCCTGGCTGGGAGGAGCAAGGGAAGATGTAGGACCAGAGTTTCTGTTCTGACCTCAGCTGGCAAAGGACTACATAGGCCAAGACAGTTTACTTAGCTGCACCTTCTGGAAAAGTGACTTGTGAGTGACTTTCCAAGTCTGTCCCATCTCAGATCTTAATCCTTCCTGTCCTTCCGGGATTCTGGAAGGCCCTCTCTTGCCCAACCCCATTCCCCCTGAAGCAGATGAACAGAGGAGTGTCTGTCACAAGCCGCTGCTTTGTCCATGCCACAACCCTGCAAGCTCGGGCCAGGCATGCAGAGCTGTTCAGAGGGCCCCATACAGCCAGGGGCTGAGGAGCTCCTGACACTGGGCATGATGGGGACTGGAAAGGGCCAGTCTGAGGCAAGGAGCCGGGGTGGGGGTGGGGGGAGAGGGGAGGCAGAGGGGTGAAGCACATGAGTTAATTCAGCCCAGTGGATCTGAGCACAGGCATTGTGAGCACAGGGGTGAGAGTTGCAACGAAGGTTGGGAGTGGGGAGTAGCCAGATATGGCTGGGAGGGCCTGGAGGAGTCCCTCTGGAGATCTCCGGGGCTGGGGAATGAGTGGGGCCAGCAGTGACCTAAGAAAGGATGGGGGGCCTGGCTTGCTCTTCATCAGCCTGCAGGTGGGGTGGAGGTAGTGCGGACAGTCGAACCTCAACCCCCCGCTTTCCCTGCGGAGTTTGGACCTTGTGCTGCTGCGCATTTGTCCCTGTTTCCCTCCTTCCCACCCCATCCCTGACTGTGACTGTAGAATGGATGTGGATGGACGGATGGATGGATGTGGATGGACGGATGACTAAGGGGGGAGCAGGTGGAGAGGAAGCAGCAAGAGAGAGGCTAGAGAAGTAGAAGGAAACTGAGTGGTGGCATGGAAGCAAGGAGGGGGCTGGAGGGTGTCCAGTGCCAGAAAAGACCCTGGGTGAGGAGGGATGACAATGAGCAATTAGCTGGGAAAGGACCACGACGGAAAGGTGGGGGCATTCGGTATTCTCACCTGGGACTCAGGACACAGGGCAGGCCTGGGTGGTGAGGTGGAGGTGAGGACTTGCCTCTGAGAGCAGAGGTTTTGACTGAGTGGCTGGAACGACGCTCTGCGGCAAAGCAGCGCAGGGGGTGAGAGAACTGGGAAATGTCATCAACAGCCCATGTGTTCGTCGGCTTGTGGGGGGAGAGGCGCCATGTGTCCACTTGGGGTGTCAGGGCTGACCCTGCACTGGCCTTTGGCGTGGAAGAAGGGAGGAGCTGGGTCTCTTCCCTAGTCCTAAGGATGGCATGATGGAAACACCGGTGGGGAGCCCTGGACCCGCCGTGCCCTTGGCGGGGGATTCTGCAGTGAGACGCCGCGGGGCCTCTAGGTGTCGCCCTCGGGCCATGTTACTGCAGATGCAGCAAAGGGTTCCGGAGGGAGGTTTGAGGCCCTGAGGCTCACCCCCAGCTGGAGCAGGGTCTCCCCCTCAATAAGCCTTTCAACAAGCCTCAGCAGAGCCTGGATGTGCCTGGGGTGGGAGCAAGTGTGTAGGGCGGGGGAAGTACCCTGTCCTGTGGTCACTCAACCCTGCCCTGAGGAGAGGGGGCTACTGGGTTCCAAGAGAGCCTTGGCAGAGCCAGGTAGGGGGCTGCAGGTGGTGGGGGAGGGAGGGTGGCTGCCACCTTTTCCAGTCTCCCCCGGTGTGGGTATTCCGCTCCGCAGACAGCCCCACACCTCTGAACCTGTCTCCCAAGCACCTCAGCTCCCTGCAACCAGTCCCAAGCACCTCAGCTCCCTGCAACCACTCTCCTAGCAGCTCCTGGTCTCCCCACCCCCATTTCAGCCCAAAGAATGATCCAAGCCACCTTTATACTCCCCCCCCCCATAAGAGCTGCCCCATCTGGTGGCCAACTCCACCCAGTACACACCCGCCAGTGACCTTGGTCAGACTCAAATCTGGCCATATCACTCCTTTGCTCCAAACCTTTCGTGGCTCCCAATTACCCTTGACTTGCCCCCTCAAGCTCCTCCCCAAGGTGTGGGCACGACAGTCACACGGGGATGGAAGAGTGAGACAAGAGAACGAGCTCTCTGCTTTTCTCCCCAAGCTGAAGTCACCCCTTCCAAGAGTCCACTAGGGGAGGCCACACTGACCGCCTTGCTGCCCTGCCTCTTCCTCTCCTGTCATCTAGAGGAAGTCAGTGTCCACCATGTGCATCCAGTTGTTTTTTTTATCAAACAGAAGCCACAATTGCTTCAACTAGCTCCCCCCCTCACCGGCCTTTGTTTTTCCCTCGGGGAAGGGGCAAGGGAAGTTGTGACTGAACTATTTAAAGCAAATCCCAGACCTCACATCATGTCCATCATGATCCTTCCAGAAGCACCCCTGAAAGAATTGCTATTTTCCTATGTCACCACAATGCTGTTATCATGGAAGGATTTGAAATGGGGTCAGCAAAGGGACAGCAGATGCAAGTCTTAATGACTGATGAGTCTAATTGGTGGCCTCGTTATGCTATTTGCTCTACTTTTGTGTATATTTAACATTTTTTATTTTTAAAATACTTTAATGACACACCCACTCTTGCCCCATCACCCTCCCCTGCTTTTCTTTTTTAAATGGCGAAAAAAATTATATTTAGAATTAGCCAGTGGGCCTCCCTGGTGGTGCAGCGGGTTGAGCACAGCGCTGTGAAGCTGTCCACAGCCTCTGCAGTGTGGGTTCAATCCCGGCCGGCCGGGGAGGGTCCCACAGGCACAGCAGACCTCTCCTGTCTCGCCCGCTGCTCCCCTCAGCAGTGTATTTCGTCAGTCTGCCTGTTCTGCTCCCTGCTCTGTCTCTGGTGAATCCTCTCACCCTCCCGCGCCTCTGGCCTGTACCCCAGCTCTTGTATAAAAATAAATAATTTTAAAAAAATATATATAGAATTAGCCAGCTGGACTCAGTTTAGATGATCCCAGTTTTGTAGACAACATCTAAAACATCACAGTCAGGAGCCAGTGAAACATTTGCCTTCTCTCCACCAGGTGTGATCGGGTTTTGGACCTTGGCCATGTCAACGTCATAGAGTTTCTTCACAGCCTGTTTGAGCTGGTGCTTGTTGGCCTTGAGGTCCACAGTGAACACAAGTGTGCTGTTGCCTT